TTTTTTTTAAAATGAAACCACTGATGTGTAAATATCTTTTGAATAGAATTATCTTGTTATTTCCTCCCCCAAAAATCCTTGAGGGATGGATGAAAATAACGATCAGTCTGAACTATAAATTTTTTTGATTTTCCTTTAATATTTTTTCTTAGTATAATTAAATTTTTCTTTTGTTTGATTTTGTTTATTGTTCCCTCTATTTTTTTCAAAATTTTCTATACTTTTTTATTCCGAAGGCACTTCCCTTTTAATTATACCGACAAATGTCATTTTACCGATTCTTTACTTAAATCAAAAAAAATTCAATTTAAATGTTTTTTATTTACTCTTTTTAATTTGGCAGTAAAATGACCCTGGTTTGATTTTTTTCTTGTGCTTTGTTTTATAATCAAAATTTTGTTAATTTTATTTAATTTTATAAAATTAAGATGCATCAAGAATCGAACTCGCTTTGGCAAATAGGGCTTTAAAACTTGGCCAAAAAAAAAATTTTTGGGCAATTTTTAGAGCCCAAATCCCAATTTTTGCATGTGCTAATTTTAGGTTTTTAAATTACAAAAAAAAACTTAGAATTTCAATCGTCTATTTTGTTTCAAATACAAGCAATCCATTGATTGAAATGTCGACAATAAAACCAACATTCTTCCCCATATTAGCCGGCGATTATAAAATAGCAGGTGTGTTTTTTAAAAGATACCTATAACTGCTGTTTGTGTGTAAATTGAAACCAGTTTCGTCAATGAAGATTAATCTTTCATTTGAATCATTTTAAATGTTGTTCGAATTTTTGCCTATCATTTAAAATTCTTTCTGAGTTTTTTTTGATAAGTAACTTAAATAACTCTTTTTCGGGAATAATTGAAATCTTTTAAAATTCTTGAAATAAAGCTTCTTGATATTATGTATTTTCTGCAACTAAATTTTGACAAATAGCTTCTTGTTTAATAGCACAGTTACCTTATAAGCAAAGTTCAAAAAAATTTATACCCCCAACTTTTCTTTTCCTTCTTCATTTTTTTAATCAGATTCCGTTTTAAGGATGTTTAATGAATCAAATTCACAAATATATATACCTTTTATATGTCTTTGCACTATACGCTTACATAAATCTACCATCTACTGATATATTCTGTAGATTTATTACCTTTTAACAATCTTTTTATATTTTCAAGGATATGTTTTGTCATAGTTTTTTGAGTTTTACGAGGAACATTAGTAGATATGAAGAGTTTTAAAGTATTAGGGATTAGTAGAAAAAACAACCAATTATAATTTATTCTTTATCTTTATTTAATTTTTAAAATACATAGTAGGGATCTCATAATTACAAAATGGAGGCTATAAAATTTCACAGCCTTGTAATAGCTTTAATTTTAATTTATTAGCTATTGTTTTTTTTATACTTGTGGGAAATTTTATTGTTCGATTCGAAGATTTCTAAAAGAAAGTACAGCATAAATTGACAATTTATACTTATGGATTATTGGAGGGGTTGATATTATGACCTCGGAAGTTTTCTTTGTTGAATCGCTTTTTAAAAATCAGGAAACAATACAAAATTCGCTATTAGAAAATGTAAAGGTGGATACAACAGTAATAACTGATTGTTGGACTAATTAAATTCACCTAATTAACTTGGATTTTACCATATTGCTGTAAACAATTTTAAAAATATTATATACTCTCTAACTGGTGCGAGTAAATGGGTGATTCAGGATCAATCAGTTTATAAATGAAAAATTATAGCCCGTTTTATGATAATTATTCTGATATCTAACTAATGTTTTTGAATTTATCATAAAAAATAGATCCAAAATTGCTTCCTTTGGTGTTTTTATGTCTTATATAAAAAGTTAAATTGAGTTTATTTGCTTGCAACCTTTTATAAAAAATCTCCATATATTAATGATGTGAACCTTAAAATCATAGGATATAGCCGACTATTGTTTTAAAACGAAGAACAGCCTTTTTTGTCTTTAAATATCGTTAAGATAAGAATTAAACATTTTTTTACTGTAATTAGTAAAATAAAATTATTAAAAATAAATTTATTCTAATCTCAATTAATGACTATTAATCAGAGGGAATCTCAATCAAAAGAAATCGAGGGAATAATCAATAGATTTAGAAACACGGGAAACAGTCTTATCACATACATCTGTGGCCCACCTGGAAGTGGTAAAACATATACATTAACTCAAATACTAAATGATACCTTTCCTTCCTATTTCTATATCAATTGTAGCAAATTAAAAGTTAAATCAAATATTTATTCTAAACTGATTGGTTCTTTGAAGAAGAAAGGCAAAGGTTATGATGATTTGAAAAATATTTTACAGAAAGAGAAGAAAAAATTTGTTATTGTTTTGGATGAAATTGATTTATTAGTTACCAAGAAGCAAAGTATCCTCTATAATTTATTTGAATTACCCT